AAAAAAAACTACTATTTTCGAAAAATTGATCATGACTAATTCAAGTTCTCTTCAGAAAACAGATTTCTTTAAGGGAAAAATTTCTACTTTTAATATTGTACTTACCCGAATCATTCTTTTATGCGCCCTTTATGTTATCCGAGGACAAAGTTAAAAAAACAAAACAATATGAAACCATTTTTGAGAAAATTTTTGAAAATGTTTGGGAGGCTTCATGTAAAGAAGCCTCAAAAATCAATATCCGTTTGAAACTCCCAAAGCCTCGAGTTCGTTAAGATCGATTGAATAATATCTATTTTGGAGAAAATCGGCCAAACTTTTTAGGCGCTATCAATGACCACAGGCGGACGTTTTGCTGTTAATCCAATGCTACACATGTTGGAGAGAGCAGTTTCCCATATGCATCTTTCGTGACCGGGGCCCGACAATATGTTTTTTGCTACAAATTCGCAGGTTTTCGTCCCACAATTACATAATTTTTCTTACGAAGTGAATGCGAGAAAGTAAAAAGCCTAATGGGGAAAAGGGGCGCAGTAAGATCCTTAGCTCCCTCCTGTTTTAGACTGCGCACGCCTATCTTTACTGGCGTTCATCCATTACGAGAAGCAAATGGAGTCTGAAGCACAAGGTATAGAACTCCTTAACAGGGGATGGGTCATATGAGGATGTGGATAAAGACCTTTAAAGACATGTGGGACTGGATGGGGAAGGAAGGATCGTGGGTAGCTCTGCCCCTCGAGCACGTAGAAGGGTGGAAAATGATTGACTTTTGACAGTGAACATATAGTCAGAAATTGTAATCAACGAAAATTATATGCATTTATACATTTGGCACTTGCCTCTTTTTAGGCAACCCGATATGCACAGATGTATGGCACGACATGTTCTGACAAAATCAAGGCGATTTCATGTACCAGCCACACAGTCCTGGTTAAGGGATTACTAAAACGTAGTCACAAAAAATCGGTCAAAAAGTGATCACATTCGACTCTTATTGTTTGCTCTTGAACTTTGTAATATTTATTCTGAGACACACTGTACAACGAAGTGTGTGGAATTGGGATGCCTATAACCATCTCGCATGCTCTCATCTCCTGGCACAGACGAATTGCTTAGAGCGATGGCAGCGAGTTACAGACAGCGACGAAGTGCGAAAAGTGCTAAAATCACTAGGTTTAAAAATGTAATTTTGATCTTTGAACAATAAATTAACAAAATGGAGCCCACCTCTGCCATTTCATTTTTAGTAACTTTATATACAGGTTGACAAGCGGGTTGTCAAGACGAATTTACAGCACGATATTGAGACTTACCTCGCTTTACAAAATTTGTCAAACCTTTTAGACACAAATAGTAACGAGTCCGTCATATTGAATTTTTAGATCACTTACGTAGCCTATGACATTCATTCTGTTAAGATGAATGAAATCATACACCACGTACGAATATAAGTCAATTCTAACGATAGTAATAAATAAACCCGGATACATCGTGAAAAACATCACCCTCCTTGCATTGCGCTATCAGATAAAACGTGTTTTCTATTATCCGCGCATCTCATACCTTCGTTTCGCTAGTTGCTAGAGGTGTGGGGAGTTTGGTAATTTTGACAAAAGGAATATTACATCAAATTTGTAGCTCGTTTTTCGATGCAAAGTAGTTTCCATTACGCGGGAGCAAACATTTCTGTCTATCAGATTTTGTCAACAACGCTCCTTGCTATTATTTACCCTTCATTGAAGTAACGTTGGAAAAATAGCAGAAGTAGGTATTCCGCCCGTCTTGAAAACCTGCGCTTGCAATATCAATCTCTACCTGCCCGGGAAACGCTGCGTCCTCTGCTCAGGAGCCGTTTCGGCCGCCATTCTGTCACCATCCTCGGGTCGAAATGCCCTGAGGAAGGTCGCAGTCTCCGGTCACGGAAGCCTACGCCCCTGTCCTCTGGCCTTCGCTCCCCCCGCGCGGGACCCAACGCTTTTTCGATCGGCGGCGACCTAGTGAACCCGGCACGAAACACGCCACGTCCCTGGTCTGGCACGCGCGCCTTCGCACGAACCTTGCGTCCGTCACAGACCTTGGTTGGTTGATTTATTTTTTTAGCGATTCTGGGCGCGCCAACTACTAGGGTCATTAGTCCCGTGAGTGTGGTGCATGTTTTTATCACGGGGATGGCGGTGATCTTCCCGGCTGGATAATGAGATCTGGCGCCGACTTCCACGTCAGCTTGCGGAGTTTTCCCCAATCAGGCATCTCCCACCTTCGGAACACCGCCCCAGCAGGGACAGACTCTAAGCTCCCGTCCGGTCTCCCTGCGTGTGTGGTACTGTAGTGCATCTACGCGTGTGTGTTTGTAAGGAGTGAAGACAGGACAAGGAAGAGGAAGGAAATATTGCGCGTGGTCCGAAGACCGTTTATTAGGGTACTGCTCCGACATTCGTCTGTTAATGGGGGAATTCTGGAAATACCGACCAGAGCAGACATCCACCAGAATTATCCTTCCGACAGCGGCTGAATTCGACCCAACTGTCTAGCAACTGAACCCTATAATCTCCCGGACAGAGGCATTGGAGTAAAATCATTTAATGCCCTAAGGGCCGGTTTCACCAAACAAAGAGTAAGAGTTTACTCTGGAGTAAATCATGTTTACTCGAGA